GGAAAATTATTCTTTAATCTGAAAACACTCTGTTTAGTATCCAATTCATTAGGAATTACAGTATAATTAGAGCAGAAATAACGTCACATCCTAATTTAATTTTATTTGTCAGTCTAGAATAATATAAGATTTTGTAATTGGAATAATAAAGAATAAAACTAATTTGTTAGCACAATGAAATGACATATTAAAAACAAAATAACAAAAAACAACCTTAACAAAGATACCCTAGCCCCTTTAGGAAGAATTAGTCTAACAACAAAATAAAAACCCTTTACTGTATAATGTACAAAATATATAATGAAATAATTAATAAATTTAAACTATAAAATCAAAACACAACCACACAAATACAAACAAAAAAAAAACTTCATGATAAGCAAACAAACAAACTTTCTAATAAATAATAAAAATAAAATAACCTTAAAATAAAACCCTTATAAGATTATAAAACAAACTATAATCAAAATAACTATACATACCTATTTATAATAGAACTGTCTATTATATCTACAAATACACAGTGAATGAAAGAACTGAAATCAAATACATAGATAAGTATAATTTAAAATACATAAACATATTTATACAATTCAACGTGAGTGAATCTGCAGCTTTCCGATGATGTAGCTTCTGCATGGCCACTTGTTACAATCATTTCAACATAGCTCGACACATAGTGATAGGAAGGTTGACTCTTAGCTAGAATGTTGTAGCTAATTTCTCCAGCCAAGAGGCGTTTCTTCACCACAATCTTCAGTTATTCTGGTGATCTATTAAGCAATGGTAGATGCTTTAGGAATTCTCAGTAACAAGGAGTGAAAATCCACTGATTACTTCAGGAACATAACAGTCAGAAGCTTCCAGAATGTGATCATTTACACAAAAACCCAGGTTCCAGTGCAAGATCAGATACATATTATCGGTCTAAATTCAGCTAAGTTTGTAGGTTAAAGTAGGCTGAATTATTTGATTACACCCCTAACTACTATGGCAGGCATTACTCTAAAATGGGCTTTAATGTAAATTCACATATTATGTCACTCATAGAACATATATCTTGAGAACCTGAGGATCACTAGGCTTCAGCAGGTCTCCACTCGACCAACTAGCTGTGGCTGTGCTACTTGCTCTATGCTCTCCCTACCAGACAACTGGAGCACACATAAAACTCTCCGATCAAGCCTCATTGTTCTTCCTACTTTCACACAGACAGTGTATTCATAGTAGAAAGGAATAAGGGTCAAAACTGAAAGTAGTTCCTACACAATTAAGCTGACTCGAGTCAGATGATGCCAACCATGTGTTTGATTATTAGCCTTCACTACCTCTTTCATTATCTTTCCTTAGAAAGTTTCTTCAATTTACAAGTTGTATACTAGTATTTTTCACGATTTACAAAGTTTTAACCACGGGGGTGTCACTTTCTGCCCCTCCCCCAGTGCACATACAGCCTGTACTTTCGTATCTTAAAACTACATTTTATAATGAAACAATTAATAAAATATTCAGGAAATCTGTTTGATTATTAAACATTTTCACTGAAATAGTTCTACTGCAACCAAATAATACACCAGATACAACACATGTTATGATACTTGTTATGATATCTAAGCCACTGTCTTCGAATTTCGTTTACCACTGCTAATTTTATCTGCTCATGAATATTTCAACTCTTTATGAGAAACAACAGGTGAGCTTGTTGCCGTTCTCTAAAATCTCAGATCAAAATGTTTTCATTTCTCTTAGTCATAGTGTGAGGCTCTTTTGTCAACGTCTATAACGAAAGTTCACTACCTGCCAAATATTTTATTATCAAAATTGAAAGATTCTCTTTGTGGTATTAATAGAAATAATAGATGCAAACATTTTTCAATAATACTTTTCAGGTCATTTATTACAATTTCCCTCATATTCGTGAATTTTTAATGTCTAGATCAAATCTTTTTTCTATGCTTTTTTGTTTTATACAACTCTCTTGTAGCTCATAAATCCAATATACTTTCCAGGCAACTCAATAAAAACATATGGAGTACAAGGCAGCATGCTCCATAGATTTCTCACTACTCGGCTAGATTATAAGAGTGAACTATCTCAAAACATTAGTGATGTTTCATGTCAGGAAATTTATTCAGTGATTCAGAAAGCAAGGGTCACAATGCCCTTTCAATCACTGGTGTCTTCACCAAATAACTGTCCTAACCTTCTATGATTAAGCAGCTATCATTCAATATCTGGTGAATATGTCATTTACTCACAGTGATGTCTCAGAAAGCATGTGTAGCTAAGCACTTTTGGCCTCATTAATGTCAAGATCAACAAACCACAATAACTGGATAATCAAGTGGAAGTAACACAATGTAGGGTGTTGCATATATAAGACTGGTTAGTTTATTTAATAGGTATTATTTGGTTTATTTTATGGCATAATATTTAATGATTGTTTAGTTGAAGGAGTGTTGTAGATGGATTGTTTCAAAGGTGTTAGTAGTAAAAAATTTCGTTACATAACTTTGTACAAGTCGTACATTGTGTTTGCAGTTACATTGTTGTCTAGGCTTTACTAATATTCGATATTCTTCGGTATTTTTCTCGTTACCTTAAGTGAGTATTTTTACCTTACAGCACCACTCTCATAGTTTAGAAAAAGTCTGAGGCCTTAGTTGGGCAATGTATAAATATAGGCGACCAACTGAGCACAAGTCAAGTAAAGTGAAAGTGCAGTTCAGTAAGAAAATTAGTTAGCAAAAGAAAAGTGATGTTAGTCAGCGTGTGAGTGATTAACTGTAACGAGTGATATTTTAAAGTGAGTTTCACAGTTTAATAGAGATAAGGAGAATAACTTGTCTTGTAAAAAAGTGTTCTAAAGTAATTGAAACCGTCTATGTGGACTTTGACGAAAAGGAGACAGTTATTCAAAGTTCGAAATACAACTGTGGTAACCCAAGAGGTAACGTAAGTGAATTATTCACTGATAATTGGATTCTAAAGTAATTGAATCAGCCTGAGTGGACTTTTGACAAGAAAAGATAATTATTTAGAGTTTTAGACAAAACTCTGATTTCCTATAGTGTAAAGTATTTTTGTACATACGTTTGATTTGTTTTGAAAACATTATTTTAAAACAAGTAGATTGTGTGGTGTCTGTTTATTGTTTGAATTAATCGCCGACAAGACACAGACACCTACTGTAGAAGAATCCTTAGCCCACTCATATATAAAACCCTGAAATAGTGCGTACATTATTCTGTGTGCATCATCTGATAGGTTGGAAAGTGTGAAATACCACTTTCTTTCCGTCTGTGATCATGATGATCAGAAAATATCCTAGCTTATGATGTTTAAGAAACTGTTGCAAACTGTAGTCTATACAATCTGCTGACATCATTACCCAATGGCTCAGAAAGGAAGTAATGCTTCTTCTTTTCAATCATTGGTTTCTCAAACTAAAGATTGTCTTAGCTTTTGACCATAAATGCCAACTGTCTCCTCTACCAGAGAAACAGCTTTAATTAGTGGAGGTCGTCCACTTGTGACGTGTTCAGTCCTTCTTGGCTGTCCATCTGTGGTTAGCACCAAAGCTGGGGCTGTGGTGTTCTGGCTGGCAGCAGGCAGTGATCTTGGTCTCTACAGATGCCAGCCTATATCAAAGACTCTCATTTGTTTTCACTTTCCCTGTACCAAGATTGACCCTAAAGGACAAGGTTTTTTCCACTGGTCTTAAGTCTTCAGACTTCTACAGATTTTCCTGAGCATGCAGTTGTATGCGATTGATGTCGTGGACCTTATAAGTATCGGCGAAAGCTCTATATTCAAAGGATCATTTTCCCTGGACTCGCCACCTCTCTCATACAACTATCTGTAGTGGCAAACTCTCCCTCTTATTTGAATTAACAGTACATCTAGATCAAATTATTCTTTTTCTAAAAGCTTATTCTACTTTCTAATCAACTCAAGAGATCAAGCAAAGGGCTGGTACAGAAACAGAAACTATGCAATTAATCTTGTGGTCATTGCACCAAAATTCTCATTTTTTTTTCACTTGTGGTGCTCTCAGGTAACTTATTTCTAAGCAAATATAGGATTGAACAGAAACTATGCAATTGATCTTTTGGTCATTGCACCAAAATTCTCATTTATTTTTCACTTGTGGTGCTCTCAGGTAACTTATTTCTAAGCAAATGCAGAATTGAACAGAAACTATGCAATTGATCTCTTGGTCATTGCACCAAAATTCTCATTCCTTTTCATTTGTGGTGTTCTCAGGTAACTTATTTCCACGCAAATGCAGGATCGAACAGGAAATTTGCCAAGTGATCTGATTTTGGAAGCTCGACTGAGATTTAAGCTGCATCCGAACTAAATAGATTAGACATATTTATTAGGCAGGTAAAACAATCTCTGTTACAGACAGAAAAAGAAGAAGAAGAGAGAAACAGTGCAGATCTGCGTAGACAAGTGGACAATTGCATCTACTGGATTAAAGACTAGATCTTTGGATTTTCTTCTTTTGATACGAATCTTTCAGAACTATTCAATGAAAGTAAAGTAGAACTGTCCGAAACTAAAGCTCTGTATTGATGCAGGTTTCTTTGTCTTACGATTGCGTCACCACGTGACCGATCATATGCTCACGACATTCTTTGACTGGTATGTACAGACATTATCTAATTGACCAGCGAAAGGATGACGTGGGAGCGAAACAAAGACACAAAGTTAAACTTAGAACTGAAAAACTTAAACAGTTTTCTGGACCAAGTGTTTTAGCGAAAACTGCATTGAAATAACCAAAGTGAAAAAGCTCGAAAATGTCTGCATCACTAAAGGTGATGGAAAAATATATGATTTACGGCACACTTCTCTGTTACTTGCAGTCTTTTTGTGAATATAAATTAATAATGATACTCATTTAAACAGCATATGCATTCAATAACTAAATATAATAGACTTGCATTTGGCAAGCTATTTAAAAAAATAAAAGTTTGTATTGTCTTAGTATTTGCCAGGAGTGGGGATCGAACCCACGTCTTCTTATGAAGACCAGATCTTAAGTCTGGCGCCTTAACCACTCGGCCATCCTGGCTACAAAATAGCTCATTTTTCAAGCTAAATTAGCTAAATATGCTCTTTCTTCTCGGTGTTTTACGTTTTTTTTTAATCATGTCAAAACGTTATCATATTGATTTGAACGTAAATGAAGCATATTCAGTGACGTATATATTTATAGTAGCCTTTTCGACTCATGTACTATAAACTGGAGTCAGTCCTTGGTTGATCTTAATAAGTCATCGGTACTAGAAAAAGAAAGTGATTCTGGTACATTTCTGATCTCTTAGTTCTTTTACACTTAAGTTCTTACTTTAGAAAATATGACGCAGTATATAAACACACTCCTGGTAGAAAATATATGATTACTTTCAATTTTATGCACATTGATAGTTAAGATTTTTATTTAATATTCTTGGGAACAAAAATATCAAATACAGAAGTTTGTTTCACGCGCATTTATATAGGTACACTTATGTGTCGGTTTGGTTTGTTATGAATTTCGCGCAAAGCTACACGAGGGCTATCTGCACTAGCCGTCCCTAATTTAGCAGTGATAGACTAGAGGGAAAACAGTCATCTCCACTCACCGCCAACTCTTGGGCTACTCTTCTACCAACGAATAGAGGGATTGACCGTTACGTTATAACGCCCCCACGACTGAAAGAGCGAGCATGATTGGTGGGACGAGGATTCGAAACCGCTGATTGGGAGTCGAGCGCCTTAACCACTTTTATGTGTAGGTGTCAATGCAGTGGAGTATATTAACGAATTAAACTAAACGCATTTCATGATTTTATATTTAATTACAGGGTAATAAACCGATTTTTGTTGAATTAGATTAATAAACCATGAATAGAGTCAAAGTGGTATACATATCTTATCGATATCCGTTAGTAACACAATAGCCAACATTAGGAAGGGCAAGCCCAGTAAAGCAGAAATAAACAACATGAAAATGAAAGGGTTTTCTGGCGAGTCATAGAAAGATAGTAAGACAATTCAGTTAACCTATTGACCTAAGCTAGACACTGTTGGTAGTAGGAGATACGATGCGAAACTAAAATTATTAGGCCTATAAGTGTGGAATTACGAGAGTCAAGTTGGCTAGCTGACCTGAGGCCTGATATTACATATTCGGATATATTTCCTTATCTAGCTGAATGTCCTGGTGTTTACAACAAGGACACCATACAACTTTACAAGTGGTTAGGGAGATACAGTTATCTCGAGTCTGGCTATGTTAGAAGTATAATCGAGTCTTGTTCCAAACAGAAGTAAACTACCGCCAGAAGAGCAGAGTCTTCTTAGTACAGTGTAGGGTTAGCCTTCAGAAAAAATGGATATTTGGTAATTAGACATTTCAAATGTATGTTTGGATGAATACTAGTTTATTTAACTTAATACGCTCGGCATATTGTAATATACTTTAACTATATTATTTAATTGATATATTTCATTTCGTGGCACATCTTCTATACCTATAGATCATACTGATTTGTACGCATGGGCAGCCAAAAGTCATACAACATTAATGCAAAGTGACACATGTATAATATTATACGCATATCACCTCTTAGAATACACAGTTGCAATATTATTATAATATTTCTTCTGACCCTATGCACCTACTCGAAGTAAATTAACAAATAAAGATTTCGATGAAGCTAAAGACCCGGAATCATTCACATGGAAACAGACAGACTGCGTCGTTTGGCATGTGAGATCTCTTACGAAACAGGTGCTCAGCTTACCAAAGTATTGTTTGCTTAATGGTGACCAGGTTAAAATCAAATAAACAGGAATATATTCAGATGTAGACATTTCAGGTATTGTACGAGAATATGGTTTCACTTAGAGTGCGTTAAAATGGAGCATGCTTCAATGGGTAGATGGCAATGATCCTACCGCAAAAAATAGAACGTGCCTTGCTATGAAAAAACAACAACAAAAACTTCTTAAGATCTGCGCAAAACTTGTAAGAATATCAGATGCAGCATAAGAGCTAATTCAATTTTGATTGTGAAAATATTCACAATACACAATTTAATGTTTTCATTGTTGAAATCTGGTGAATAAATCTTCATACGAATGAACGTCGACAACATTTCTAAATTGGGTTCTTATTTCATATCAGACCAGCCAAAGAAAAATGAACTGTGGTTATATGAAAATTTCATCTTCTTTCCTCGAGAATAACGTAGTGCCCATACGATAAATTTGATTTTTTACCCACACTTTTTTTACTTTCTGTAAAATGTGTGTTCACCAAGAAAAACTCCGTTGCTGATTTGAACGGAAATGTTACTCAAATCATTTAACTTTGGTTGGAGAGTTTAGGTGAAATGTGCATACCTAGCATTCAGATATTGATACTTTCATACTTTGGCAGTGGACACCTTGCTGCTAAGCCTATCTCTCAGTTTGGTGAAACTGCTTGAGCTCTAGGGTTTGTGTTGATGGATTCCAAGCAGAGAATTAATAAGCACTATTATAGAATACCTTAAATGTTATTATAACCGTTAACAAGAAGAAATGCTTATGGAAATACAATGTTACGCACTAAAAGTCTGATATCTTTCTTTACTCTACACATAGATAATGTAAACTAAACATGTATTATAATTTATTTATAATTAACAAAAATAATAATGAAATAGAATTTGGTGACATAAATTTGTATATAATCCTATAATGTCACTTAGTTGTACCAGCAAAATGCCCAGGTTGTTTTAAAGTCATTTCATTTATTGTTTAAGCTAATACTATGTTCAAGTTGTCATTCTTCACAATACCATCATTCAGATTTGACAGGACAGCATGCGCAGCATTTCGTACGCATAAATAAAGTGGCAGTAGTATCTGTGAAATATTATATTTGGCAGTTAGATACCCAATAAGTCTCTTAACCTCAATAGATGCCCGTGATGGACAGAGTACAGATAGTCCATTGTTCAACTATATGCTCAATAACAACCAAACCTTATTGTTTTTGAATCAATAGAAACAGAGAAAGATTGTTTGTTTTGAATTTCGCGCAAAACTACACGAGGGCTATCTGCGCTAGTCGTCCCTAATTTAGCAGTGTAAGACTAGAGTGAAGGCAGCTAGTCATCACCACCCACCGCCAATTCTTGGGCTACTCTTTTACCAACACAATCATATATTCAATACATGTTATTGTAATTACGTAATTAAGGACAATTTTTATTAAGCCTGTAAACATCCTCTTGATTTTTTTCACTAATGAATTAAAGATAAAATTTCCATTAGAAGAAAGTTAACGCCCCAGTTGATTTTAAAAGTATCAGTTTCCAAAACTTTAGATTAATATCACATTTGTAAAACTTGAATAAGTGCTAATAAAATTTCACTTAAAGTAAAATCTTATTTTAACAATGTTCGCTCTTATAAATATGCGAATATTATTTTCTTTTATTGACTTGCTAGTTAGGGCACTGACTCGTAATCTGGGGTTCGAATCCTACCGCCGAATATGTTTGTCCTTTCAGTGACTGTCTATCTCACTATTCGATTACAGTAGCGCATGAGTTGGCGGTAGGTGGTAGTGACTAGCTTCCTTCCCTCTGCTCTTTCGCTTCCAAACTAGGAACAGCAAACGCAGATAGCCCTGGAGTAGATGGTGACGTAGTCAGTGATTAATCTAGCTGTATACTGTACCTGTATTTGAATTATCGAGATTTGTATTAAAAAAAATTTATTCCAGAGGAGTATTTAAGCCTCTTAAGAAATTTCAAACAATTCCATAAGCTTATATTTCCGCTTGTCAGTCAGTGATACTGCCAAATATGGTAAATCAGGCAACATAATAAACATGTGTTCAGGATTTGTTCTGTATGTTCTGAAGTGTTAATAAATTTGCAAACTCTGGCATCACATTCAGTTATACGATGTGCTATAGTAAAAAAAGTTTAACATACATTAACAAATAATTAATATAATCCATTTCAGAAATATTTATCATATTAAATGCATATTTTAAAACCAATATTAAACCATATGCCAGGAGTGGGGTTCGAACCCACGTCTTCCTACGAAGACCAGATCTTAAGTCTGGCGCCTTAACCACTCGGCCATCCTGGCGATATAATAATAGTAATTTTATTATGACTTAGATTAAATTTTTTTATGCGATAGTAGATTAATTTATTTTTTCTTAATATGTTTTGTGAAAATTTGCATTCATTTTCAACGTAAGCGAAGTATATCCAGGAGTTAAATATTTTTTACAGTAAACACTTAGACTAATGAACAGCAGTCCCTAATTATTCCCAGTAACTCCCCGTCGAGAGGGTTAAAAGTTCACTAGTTCTTGAATCTATAGACCAGATCTCCAGAATAGTCATAAGCACAATTCCGAAACATTTTGAAAATTGTTAAACTAATATCGTGAAGTGAGATTCTATTAAAATGTATGCCAGTTTCTATCAGACTTGCATGACCACTTTATATCGTCTCAATTAAGCCAACGAAATAAGTGCAATGCGTAGCGTCTTGTAAATGGCAAAATATAAATTTTTAATATAATATAGAATGTTTTGAGTTACTGAAAACTGTAAAAACAATTATGGTTTTGGGTTTTACGTGAGTGAAACGTAATCAAATAGTGTGTTCTCTGTAGAGGTGAGTTTAGTGAACTTCATTAACTCTTATTTTGTTATATACACAAAAATATATTTCATTCTAGACGTTGATATACCAAGGGATATTCATGACTATACTTATAAGTATCGTAACGAAGTTAGATCTCCTGCATTTACCTTAAGCTCACAAACAAAGATGTGATCAGTGTGGCATCTGTAAACCTCTAATATTGAATCCGTGCAAACGAATCCTTTTTATTACATTTACAGATATTTTTTATGTTAATAATTTACATCGAGATTGCACGCATTATATCCCAAGGTTAGTGACTTAATCATTCAATGATCTAGCCATGTTAAGTCAGTGTTTATCGCAATGATAATAAAGTTATCTGGAACGTATTTGGTATGCATACCAGCCGTACAAAACGAA